CCCTTGGCAGAACCTCAAATGCTCGATTGCCCCCGCAGCATTGCATAACAATTAGCTGAAGGGAATGGGGTTTAAATATGGTTGTTGATGGTGCCAAGTCAATCGAAATGAGGCACAAATAATAATTCACAATGGAGTCGAATATTTTCGGAATAGATGTCTTCATTAGGCGTTTCGGGGCGAATCTTCAGAGCTGTCGATGAGACATTTTGGAGTCCAAATCGGGCTGCACCCCTTTTTTGGGTTATATAGATATTCGAGTATATTGTATCTATGCTAAATTTATGCCTAATGAGCGTAGCATTCGGTTTGATAACTCATTTGTTTCCCCACTTCTTATAAACGAATTGAGGCTAAATTGGTTCCACATCATGTTCACCAGCTACCGATGATGAAACTGGGTTCTATCTCTGATTCCGGAGGAGAGAAGTTTTGGGGTAAGATGGTTGCTGGCTGTTAGTTCTACGCAGCATCAGCTGTGTGCCAATCACAAAGCCAAAAGCCAAGAACCCGTCCATAAATAACTTATGCCCGATTCTTGCTGCTTTCTTGCCTTTTGAGCAAATATCTCCATGACGGGCAGGCAATGCCAAACCATACATATAACATGGAGAACTAAAATCAAAAGAAACAGAAGCCGTAGCTGGAGAAGCAGCAACATCAGCAGCAGCAGCAGCAGCAGCAATTCAAACGAAAACAAGGCGAAAAAAATTAAGAAATTCTCTGGCACACACTTTGGAGTTTATCATTGTAATGCAAATGAAGGAAGTGCGCGAGACTGCCTCTGACTCTTCCCTTGCTGCCCCCTCTTTCACCGCTGCCCCTTTCTGCGGAACCCACCTTTGCCATTCTGTAGTATTCGAGGTGAGGCTGTGGAACAGCAACAACACATCAGCAACAGCAACAAACACATTGGCAACATTTTGATGCCGTGGGAAATGCGAAAGCGGCACACGATTCGCTGAATGTCACACTGAGAGAAACTTTAAAGTGAAATTAAAAATGTGTTTATAAGACATGTCCATCTAAACAAAGCTCAAACACCTTTACCTTATCCCCTTAATCCCAGTAAATACCAACCTGAAAAACTTTTCTCCCAGTGCATCCGCTTATTCTTCGATGTTGGGGCTAAAGTGGTGCAAGGTGGGGCCGGATGGCTGCTCTTACTGCCGCTGCAGTCGGATTGTCAGTGCGTCAGTCAGCCACTCTCTCAGCCAGTCAGCGAATGTGATTGCACAAGAATGGCAGCGAAAAAGTTATGAATATGAATAAATAATTTTACGCAGATTGCCACGGCTAAGATAAAATATGCTCGCTGGCAAATGCAAGAGCGTTAGCCTTACCCTCACCTTGCCCCTTCTGCAATACCTTCTTTGGCAATCAGTGTCAACGTAATTCGAGTATTTTTCGAGGGGAAGCACTCTGTCCTGTGTAAAAGTTACAAAGTGATTGAAAACAAAAGTTTCCTTCGTTTTCCAGGGGGTTCGATAAACACATTCAACAAGAAACCAGATCGTATTAAGCAGAGTTATGACCTAATTTTGTGTGAGAGAATCTCGAAAGTTTTATTGATAGAGAAGGAGAAAGGTAAGTCCTTGGAAAGGGATTAAGTTTATAATAGAAGTTTTTGCTGTTGGCTTTAAAGATGTTCCATCTTATTGTGTTGATCTTTCAGTTAAGATATGGATATACTTTTTGCCACTTACTATATACAACAAGCCCTGTTGAACAGTTTCCTTTCGGTTTTCTCAAGGACTCGGCGGAATAGTTAAATATTCGAGTTCGCGGAAAACCGCATGCATAAACAGCCGGCAGCAGACAATAGTTTTGCCGAACTCTGCAGCATTGCGGCCCAATTTGGCCTGGTCAGAATGGAATGGAATGGGGTTAGTTACTATATAGCCAGATTGACCGAAGGCCCACGTAAAATAAACCCACCTACAGTCAGACAGTTAGTCAGTTAGTCAGTCGTTCTGGCCAAGTGACCAAACGACCATCCGTCGTGTCGGCCAACTTGTTTTGTAGTTGTCTATTTATGCGCTTAGTGCTGTACGAGTATGCAAATAGTTGGCGTACCTATCGCATTGCCCTCGCACTCCGCACTGCCGCACAGTGAACCAGTTTTTGTTTTGTTTCGAACGCCCCTCGGTCCTCGGTGCTAGTCCTTCGTGCCACTCCTCCCCCCCTTTAAATCCAACCCTTGTTTGCATTTTTTATTAACAAACAACAAAAAGCTGCGAGCGGCAGGAAGGGAATGCCAAATATTTGGTAGAAATGAAAACCCTTTTTTTGTTTTTGTTTTTATTTTTGCCCATTGGAGTGGGCGGACGCTTAGCAATCCGGCTAAAATGCCGATAAGCCAGAAAGGGTTGTACAGAGGGGTTGGACTATATAGTACACCAACCCCCCTTTGAAAAAAAAAAACCCAACCCAAGCCAACCTTTGGGCGGATTGTTTGTGTAGTTACAGCGATATTTCATGTATGCCACGCATAATCGTTGTTGTTTTACTGTATTAATTTTGGTTTTTAATAAAGCATAAATATTTGTGTTTGCGCTTTAGACTCTCGATTCCTATTTTTATTAAAGATTGCCAAATCAAAATTTAGTTCATCTGCCCGCTGGGGAAAATCCCCTCCGGCGAATGCTATTGACTTTCCACATAGAATGGAGATTTGTTTTCATGGTGTGCGAGAGCAAATAGTTTTGGGAGATGATGATGATGATGCCCCAGGGTCTCATTACGTGCCCGTTATTCCGCCTTATCCGTGCAGGTAAACCTACACTATATATACTTTATATGTCCAACGATTATCGGTGCCTGTCAACTAGCATTAATTGCAAATTCCATTCCTATATGACAGCCTGAACTGAACAACAGGTTAATGGTCCGCGAATATGGTCATATCTGGTAATAACTTTTATGGCCAGCAAGTGATTTGCCTTACACATGCAGTTTGCATGTTTTAATTATTAAACAAATCAATTTTCTTGGTCTCGGCTAGCCAACAACTTAATGGCATTTATCCATTTCTTCGCCGGTTGCTGGCTTATGCAAGTGCACACCCGCCCAATTAAATTTGCATAAATGCATTTTTAATATTGTTCAATTTTTGCACAACGCTAACGCGAACGCGTCAACCCACTTCACTTTACTGGGCCATCGTTAGACGAGAGAGCTGGCCAGCTCGGGAGTGCCGGCTAATGACATCGGGTGGGTGGGCGTTCTAAGGAAACTTTAAATCGATTTCAGTAGTAGTTGGCCATGGTCCATAAGATATTAATGTTGCAAATTAAAGAAGTTGATTGAGTTGCTTTCTCGTTTAGGGGGCATGGTTTGTAAGAAGTTTGAACAGGAACTTTGCTTTGGGAAAGACTTAAAAGGGGTTTACTATTTTGATATTGTAACATATATCTATGACCAGGAGTTTTTGAGGGTAACCCTATCACGAAAATCAATCTACAGATCGCTTTAATGTATCTGGATTATTACCATCTGTGTTCTACTTTTTTGATTTAAGATACTTAATAAAAAACAAACTTAATGCATTGACACTTAATTGCTATTGACACTTCCTTGCAAATTTGTTAACGGAATCTACTTTATTCCTTTTTATTTGGTTTTTCCGTGAAAGGTCAAGGGTTTTCCCCGTAATTGTCAATGGCCAAAGCCAATAACCTCAATGGGGCCCCACCCATTTTATTATATATTTCTCTCTGTAGCAGCAGAGTGTGTGTGCTTTCCATTTCGCCATTTCCATTAAATTGGCAACTAGCTGGGAATTTCCTTCATTTTCCTGCACTTATTTTGTTGTGCTTGGTTACTTATTGATTTTCAATTAGTTTGTTTTCCTCTGGCTCTTGCAGCTGCGATTTTGGTGTGTTTTTCTTTCTGTTTTTTTGTTTTCCGCATAGCATTTTCCACCAGCGAATTGACACACTTAATTTGCCGTCGATGGCGGTGAGTGTGTGGCAAGTGCATTACATGACACAAACTTCTCAACTCATAAACTATGCAGTTGCAGTATTTGTTTTTTTTAAGCCAGATACGGAGAGAGGAAGAGCATCCATCGATTTTGGCCGCGACTTGTTGGCAAGAGCTTTTGGCCCTTTGGCTTTGGCTCTGACTCTGACTTTGCCAAAAAAGTGTCAGGGTTATACCAGAAATAGACACATGCCAATAGCTTGGCCATAAATAAAGTATAAAGGGGGCTATAAAGAGGGCCTAGGGGGTTTCCTAATATTCCTAGAACTTATTTAAGTTGGCTTTAAGTATCTTTCCCTAGTTTAGTAATTGGGAAAACAGAAACGTTTGTAAGTTTAATCCATTTATAAAATTGCTCCGCCATGCGTTTAAATTAAACGCATTAAATGGGTTTTTGTTTCCTTCCTTTTCGTTTTAAATTTTATTATTATTTTATTTTTGGGAAAATTAGCCGCTGATAGAGTTGCGGTCAGGCGAGGCATGAAAATGCCGGTTGGTTCCAAAAGGGGGATAAACGGGAAAAGCGGGAAAATAGGAATTATGCAATTGCAAATGTGCGAAATACAATTTTCGCATTGGACCGCATTTTAATTTTGTTTTATAATTTCGCAAATAATAATTTACATAAACGAATGGCCCTGGCATATGCAGAGTGTTTGTCTGAGTGCGTTTTCCATTAATTTATTTATTTATTTACAATTATTTACAAGCAATTAACTTTGGGCATGGCTTTTGTTTAGTTAGTTACTCGCTTTTGGGTTTTAGTTAACGTTTGCATTTGTGACCTTTGCAATTCCCAGAGTGAAAATGCCGAATGAATAAATTGTAGTTTTCCTATGTCCCTGTGTCCCTTTAACCCTGTGGGAACAGTGTCAGTTGCATGTGTGACGACGCAGCAGGATTCCCTTTTGTGAAGGGAAAAGGAAAACCTTTAATTAATTTCATCTTCCAACTCTTATCTCCTCTTCTTCTAAAAGGAAAACCCATTTCCCCCCGCAGTGAAAAGATAGTTATGATTTAATTTTTGTCAATATTTTGTAATGTTTTTGCATTTTATTTTCGTCAGATATATTCGTCTGCTTGGTTTTATGTAATTGTAATAATTAATTTAATAATACATTTTGTCATTAAGTAAATTTAATTCAATTAATTTAGCTCCCTCCTCTCTATACAGTACGGTACATAAATACATTAAGTGCTCTAAACGTGGATTGATCTATATACATTTAAGTTTATCAAATATTCATTTTTTTAGTTATTGTTTCGTGTAGCTTAGGATGAATGAATCGACGAACACGAACGAATGGATGTGTACATATCTCTTTAGCATTACTTTAAGTTTTAGTTAACAAATAGTTTAGTTTTTTTAGTTTATAGTTTAGGTTTACGTTCTGTACGCCTGGCTAGAACTACTACATAGGTCTACGAATTACAGTTAAGGGGCATATTCTCATGTGCCGTTAATTAATATATCACATTGAATTTGAAAGTGTTTCTGCAACATTTCTAGTAATCGTTTACGTTTATCATAATATTATATTCGTAATAATAATATTCCTATATGCTTGTATATGAATGTGTTGTGGGCGTGTCTTGTGCGTGTTTCCCCTTTTTTTTTTGTTTCTTTTTTGGCAGTGCTACACTACGAAACATCAACAACCACAACATCCAAAGGCGAAATGCTTCTCCTCTCCTCTCCACTCATCCGACAAAAAAATACGTATAAATATATTGTGTTCTCAGGAAATGCCTACGAAAAAGTCTTTTTGTTTTGGATGTATGAGTGCCAGTGTGTGTTTGTGTGTGTGTGCGTCCTGTTTCTGCTCTTCCTCTTTCCGAGTCCTTGTGCGCCAGTGAGCGATCAGCTCCAAGATGGCCGCTCCTGCGCCGAAAGACCCGACTGCGAGGCTGAAAGAGATGGCCATTGGGGAGTTTTTAAACCAGGAAAGCCTGGCCGTTCTTATTGGCCGCTTCACTTCCACCAGCTGCCTGCTGCTGTTGCTGCTGCTGTTGTTGTTGCTGCTGCTGTGCCGCTGCTGCGGATGTAGAGGCCTGAGCCGTCGACTGAGTGCTGGTACTGGCCTGGCTTAGTCCACTGCCACTGCGCAGGTGCACGGGCGCTGAAGCCACAGGCATAGCCTGCTGCGGCATGGCCCGGAACTGAGGTTGCAGCAATCGCTGTTGCTGCTGCTGCTGGTGCAGGCGCAACTGCTGCTGCTGGTGGTGCATCATGCCCGTGGGAATCATGGACAACGCCTCGTGCTGGTCATACGCGCTGTACTCCGACTCGATGCTGTGGTAGATGTGCTCCGAGGGCGGACGCATTGGCATGGGCATGGAATCCACAACCCGGGCAGCTCCTCCTGGTCTCGTAGGGCGCGGTGAAGGTGTGGCAGTGGTGGCCGAGCTGTAGTTGGCCTCCATGTCCTCGGTGCAGTAGTATGCTGGTGGAGGTGGAGCCTGGCGGAAGATCATGCCAGGCGACACCGGCTGCTTGAAGCGCTCATGATGGTCCAGGGTATAGTTGTTTCCACGGGGCGACAGCTCAATTGGGATGGCATATCGCAGCTTCTCCCAGAAGTACCTATCGCAGGTGAGCAGGCGGTTGGAGGGCACTGATTTCAGGTATGGCGACAGTTCGGCCACATCCTCAGCCTCGGCGGAAACGCTTGTCTCCTCGATGATAACCAATTTCTGGGCCAAGCCCCTCAGAGACTCATGGAAGGCGTTACGGAATTCAATGCGGTTCCATTCGGTGGCCAAAAGGTTGCGGGTCAGCACCAAGATGATCTTCCTGGACGCACGGGCTCCCTCCACCAACTGGAGGTGCGAGGCCTGAGGAGGCAGATCGCGCTGCTGGATGCATAGGCGGAAGGGTGGGCGACCGTGCTCTAGCTCGGCGGCAATGTTGCGGCACACAAACTCGTAATCCTTCTCCGAGTGCAGGATGATGGCATCGTACAGCTTACCGGCATCCTCGAAGCGGGGCTCACATACCCTGACTCCATAGTGGGCAAACAGCCACATGCGAACGCTCTCGCGGAAGACGAAGACAATGATGAGGACAACGACCAGGAAGATCAGCACGAGGACAGCAGCCAACAGGGGCAGTCTGTAGCCTCCAGCCAAATCCTGCGAAGAACTGATATTGCTGGCACTGGCATCGAGCAGTTCGGAGCAGTCGGGTCCATTGGCCAGGTTGCCAATCAGTTCCAGCTCACGCTTGATTCCGGCATCCAAGCAGTAGATATCGTGGGCATCCCGCACCACCATGGCATTATCGGAGACGAACTGGGCCAGTTCCCTGAGCTGCTGGCAGCGGCATGACCAGGCATTCCTGCCCAGAGTCAGTCCCTGGAGGCTATGGCGGTACTGCAGATGGGGCAGGGAGCTCAGACGGTTGTTGTCCAGACGCAGAACCTCAAGGGAGACCAGCGGCTCGAAAGTGGCATTCGAGATGTGGGTCAGCATGTTGTTGTGCAGATACAGTTCCCGGAGGAGTCCCAGCGAACGGAACTCGGTTCCCTCCAAGTTGGTCAGCTTGTTGTTCTCCAGATGGAGCACTCGCAGATTAACCAACTGGGCAAGACTTCCATTCTGCAGAGTCATCAGGTTGGAGGCGTTCAGGTAGAGAGCACGCAGATTGCGACGACCCATCAAGTGGCCAACCTCCAGCTCGGGCATGTTGTTGCCATCCAAGTACAGATCGCTGACATCCTGAGGGATGCGGTTGGGCAGAGAGGCCAGATCCTGTCGGCCACAGTCCACAATGTTGGTGGCCCATGTGGCGTCGTGGAAGCAGCTGCAGTTTCCGGGGCAGATCACCTCGCATTCGCACTGCTCGTACTCGCAGCAGTGGCAAGTTGGTGGGCAGTGGCTCTCATACTTGCACACGAAGTCGGAGGCGGACAGGGTGGACAGAGGACGCAGTGGAGCACTGCGACTATGTGGCATCAGGCACTCAATGTTGCTGAGATCCACAACATGGGGATGCTGGCGGGTGGTGAGGTTGTTGATGCGCTGCAGCCACTCCATGGAGCAGTCGCACTCGAAGGGATTGCCGCCAAGGTAAAACTCAGGAACTGGTTTCTCCAACGAAACGGGAGCCACACGCAGGGCATTCAGCGAGATCTTGGACAGCACATTGGCATACAGATCCACTCGAGCCAAACGCGTCTTGTCCACGAAGGTATTGGCCTGGATTTGTCCAATAATGTTGTTGTTGATGAACAGCAGTTCGATGGAGTTGGGCACCGACATGGCTCCGATCTCTGTGATGCGATTATGCGAAGCATCCAGAGTGGTCACACGAATCTCCTCCTGCAGTTTGTAGTAGTTGCCCAGAGCCTCGATATAGTTTCCATGGATATCCAGCCACTTAAGGTTGGAGGGAATGAAGGCATAGTCGAACCAGACGAGGTGGTTCTCTGACAGATTGAGCCAGAGCAAAGAAGCGAGAGTAGCGAAGATTCCATTGATGTCGGTGAGGAAGTTCTTGTCCAAACGGATAGCTTCGATTTCGCTGTTCTTATCGAAGGCACCACGCTCGATGCTCTGGATGCGGTTCTTGGCCAGATTGAGCACACTCAATCGGGGAAGATCCTGGAACATGCCCACGGTGATGTTGCCGATCCGGTTATCGATCAAGCGCAGACCAGTCAGCTGGTTCAGATTGCGGAAGGTGTTGTTCTTGAAGTCCGAGATCTGGTTCTCGCCAAGATCCAGGGTCTTCAACATGCTCAGATCTTGCACAGCTTCGGGTACTTCAGTCAGCTGATTGGAGCTGAGATCCAGTTCCTTCAGATCGGAACAGTTGCGGAAGGCCTGGGTCTCCACGATGCTCACGAGGTTGTTGTTCAGCGTGAGTTTGGTCAGCACATACAGTCCGTTGAAGATGCGGTTGTCCAGTGTGTGCAGACGGTTCTCGGCGAGATTGAGGGTGTGCAGGTTGTAGAGGGGCAGGAAAGCGCCTTCCTCGATATGGCCAATGGAGTTGTTGCGCATGTCCAAGATCTGCAGGAAGTACAGCTCCTTGAAGGTCTTGGCTCCGATGCGGGTGAGGGCGTTGTTAGACAGATTCAGCACAATCAGGCGGATTAGGCCGGCGAAGGTGCTGTTATCCACGTGGTGACTGGTCAGCTGATTGCCACTCAAGTTCAGGACCAACAGTTGCTCCAGACGATGCAACAGACCCTTGGGCAGATCGTACAGATCATTGCCTTGCAGATGCAGTTCCCGCAGTTCCTTGTTGCCGGCGAAGGCCTCCGAGGGCAGGGATTCCAGATGATTGAACGAAATGTTCAGCACTCGCAGCGAACTCAGACCGGCCAGGGCATTGGGAGCCAGACTGGTGATGTTGTTGTGCTGCAGGCTGAGGGTCTGGAGGCGCCTTAATCGGGATGCTCCCCAGGCATCAGGCAGGGAACGCAGCTCGTTGAACGACACATCCAGAGTCTGCAGCTCCGAGCCGCCACTAACCGCTCCATTGGCATTGCTCAGGGCGGAGCCGGCACAGAGTTTCTCGGAGAAGCCAAGGAACTCGGCAGAACGTATCCGATTCTGGGTGAGATTAAGCACCTGCAGGCTGGGCATGGTGCACCAGACTCCCTCGGGCAACTGACGAATGTTGTTATCACCCAAATGCAACTCCGAGAGCTCCTTCAATCCCTGGAATGACTGGCCGTGCAGTTCCAGGGTTTTTCCCGGACCCCAGACCGCATTGTGGGACTCGAGGGAGAGTCGTTTGAGCGACATTAAACCCTCAAAGGAATTCGGAGGCACTCGTTGCAGTTTGCAGGCATCGATACGCAGCTCCGAGAGCTTCTGCAGCTGCCGGAAAAGTCCGGGGGCCAGTTCACTGGCATGCAAAAGCTCCTGGCTGCACTGCAGCTCAAGGCGGCCGGCCGCCTCCGCCACTTGGAGATCAAGTGGGGATCCGGAGCTGGACTCCAGGGCACGAACACTGCACCGGATGTCCATGGTGGTGAGGCCGTACTGCCAGTTGCACTGCTGCTGCGCATGCGCAGTGGCCACCAGAAGCAACAGGCAGGTCAGGATGATGGCGTTGATGGCGATGGAAGATGTGGCTGGCATTTTGGTGATTTGCTAGTTGGCTTAGTTAACTTTAGATGATATACGTTTTATTTTAATAACAGCTATTTAGGCTGTGTGGGTTGTGGATTGCGGTGGTGGTGCACAACTTGGTCACTTTCTGGTTTTCATTTTTCGATCGCTTTTTCCGCAGCCTGATTGCCCTGTAATCCTGGTGTGAGCTGGCTATGCGTTTTGCGATTTTTCACTTTGGTTTTTAAATAGATTTTTCAATTTTCAATTTTCAATTTTTTGTTGTTGTAACTTTCAATTGGTAACTTGTAATTGGTATTTCTTATATTTCTCGTTTCAAACTTGGCACTTGGCGCGACTCAGTTAGCTAGTTCGAGACTTCGTTTCGTTCGGCGAGAGCTCGTTTTCTCAAAACATGTTTACCGCCTCGCGTTCCGATTGAAAATGATTGCTGGAGTTGGCCATCTCGACTCCGTTGGCTCGTTGAAAATGTGAAACCGACGACGTCGCTGCGTCGTGGCAGAGCTCACCCACACATATAAACGCAAACACGCTAGCGTGTGAAACCGGCAGACAGACAACACGTACATGTGCATGTGCATGTGAATGCACTCTCGCGAGCGAGCACACACACATGCAGCTCTGCCGCCGCGTTGCTTTTCGCTCTCTGGCGCTCCTCCTATACACAAACACACACACACACACACACGCATAAGCGCACTGCATTTCCTGCCTGCATATGTCACACACACACATGAGAGAGCAGTGCTCTTACTCTCACACTCTCTTTCCCGCTCTCACGATGAAAGTAGGGGAAATGTTGCACACACACACACACATGGAAATGGGCATGGGAGGAAAACAGTTAGCATTAACCCTATGCTGCGCTCTCTGCTATTTCTGTTCGTTCAATTAGCACTGGGAAAAGGAAATCATGAAGCAGAAGGGTTAACTTGGGTTATCAGCCATCAGTGGTCTTATCTGCCTTATTGAAGCTCTGATCGTTCGATTTGTGGAAAAGTGGAAATTAATACAGAATTAGCTGAGAGCATCTGATGGGCTCTAAATGGGGAGTATTGTATTGGCGGCTGTAGGGAAAGTGATCCATATTTAAAGCTATCATTAACATAATCATTGATTCAAATTACAACCAGAATTTCTTGCCTTTAATACCACTAAGCAAGCTTAACACCTAGAACCCATAGAGGGTTAAATAGAACCGGCAACAGGCTGCTGCTTGTTGGCAACATTTTGCTCCCTTTCCCGCCCCACATTTTGCAATGGAAACTCTCGTACTCAGTTCGTTTTGCTGCCTCGTGTTGCACTCGCGATATGTGTTGCATGTACAGAGTATAGTATGTTGCCTCAGTTTCAGCATGTTGCATGCTGCTTGGCTCTTAACAGCTGCCGATGTTGCAGTTGCAATTGCCTTTGCCGTTGCTGTTACTGTTTTTGTGTGCCTTTGACCACGTTTTCTGTGGCTCTCCAAAGTGTTTTGTTGCCGTAAAATGCCTAATCTATTGTCGTATGCTAAATATATTTTAGCAATATTTGTTGTGTGTGTTGCAGCAATTTTAGTTGCTGCTCCCGCTGCTGCTGCTGCTGCTGCAGTTGCTGTCAAACATATTCGCTGGACTTCTTAGTGGGAGTTCGATACTCTATGCTTTTTCATGCCTCTGTAACTCCCCTTTTTTAGAACTTAAAATACCATTACTTGGTTGCTTGGTTTTTTACTACGCTGCTGTTGCAGTTGCAGTTGCAAGTGCTGAAATTATTTCGTACACAGAAAAAGCCACACATATTTGGCACTTTGAGTGGTTCAGGGAAACTTGTTGGCGCTCTTTATTGCCACTGCCATTTGCTTCATCATAATTTTCAGGTTTATTTACTCGCAGCTACTGCTGCTCGCCTCTTAGACCATAAATATTGCATATGAGTGTGGCATGCGGCAGAGGCAGTGGCAGTGGCAGCGGCAGCGGCAGTGGCAGTAATACCATTCGCAGTAGCAATATTACAGTTTGAATGCCACTATTATGCCAAGTTGCAACAGCAACTCAACGGAGGAAATGTCCAATGCGAGATTGTTTAGTGTCACCTGGGTTCGCCGTTCTAATTTCGTAGGTCTCTATCACCTGGCTGGCTTTTTCGGCTGTCGGCTTATGCCACTTAAAATTACATTAAAAAACTTTCCGCCAAGAGCAACAACTTTGCTGCTGATGGTGCAGCCCGCCCCCCGAAAAAACTCGAAATGGGGAGTTTGAAAACTTTGCCCGGCTTTGCCACTACCAATGTTGCTGCCGTTCTAGTTGCTGTTGCTGGTGTTGCTCCTGTTGCTGCTGCGTTTTTGTCCCGTTTTGTTTTTGCGGCGCTGCAAATATGAAACTTTTGTTACTTAATTATTTTGTTTGTTGTTCTTGTTAATGTTTCCGCTCCTGCCTCTGCCTCTGTTGGTATATTGTTATTAATTAATTGAGTTACACTTCCCCTTGCAGTTGCTGCTTCTTGGATTGTGGATGCCACATCCACAACAAGGTTCTTACTACTGTTTGCCTAGTGGTGCGAATATTTTATGAATTTTTAAATTTCATTAACTCGACATGTGCCGGCAACTTTGTGGCAGACTGTGTCATATGTGTGTCGTCGACCCTTTTCGTGTCTTTAGGCGGACTCTAGACGACATAACTATAATGTTATACATAGTTTTTGTAGAGTGAAAAACTTGATTAAAAGTGTTTAGAATTTCTAGATTATCTTACTAGTAAACTTTTGGAAATTTCACTTTGAGAAATGTAGTTTGTTTTTCCTAGACATTATGGGCATTTCGTGTACCTGCCTGGGCAAAAAGTATCTTGCAAGAGGCTTCCATAAAAGCGGCCCAATGTTTGTTTGTTGCAGCAGCAACTGCAGCAACTTAAATATTATTCATACGGCGCGTTGGCCACGGCCAAAATCCTCATTGCAGCTTTCATTTCGACTCGCATAACTATGTCAAATTAGTGTCTGGCTGCCTGGGATGCCCAACTTTCCCAGCGGCCTATTCAGAAACTTTCCCGCTCCGCCGCTCCTTGGGAAATCGTATTCAAATGCCTGCCGCCCGTAAGAAACAGCCAACTGGAGAAACAAAAACCATTTTAATTGAATTAGAAAATGGCAATGGGTCAGAAGCACGTTTGTAATGCATAATTTATGTTAGCGCACTGAGTTTATTTTCTGATTTTCAGTTATTTTCCATTTTGCTGCGCTGCTGCTGCTGATGCTGATGCTGTTGCGAATCCGCATCCGAATGCGGCGAACGTTTTAGCCCGATTTTTTGAGGCCAAAATTTTCATAATCTTTTGGTGCAATAGAAAATCGCCATGGCACGGCATGGTAGTAGGAAAACGGCAGTTATGAATATCATTGCAGGAGCTTTAATGAATGAAGTTGGTATATAAAGAAGGAGGGCCATCCTCAATGGATGGAGGAAAAACTATATGGCTGGATGAGTGGAAAGTGCGTGTGACAGCAGTGGATACAGCTGCCTGCTGGAAAATCCCCACCATCGAAGGAGTCATCCTGCTGGCAGCTGTCAGGCGCACTTGCATTACATTATTGCCGCCTCCACACCAGTTAAACTGAACAACAAGTTGGGAATTTTCACCAAGTTATTTGTTTATTTCGAATATTATAAATTCCATTTTTCATTTCATTTCGATAGTTGTTAACATTTCCCCTAGAATGAGGAGACATTCTTGAGTAATTTATTTTAGGCAAACATAGATTTTATCTCCAACCACATATCTGGCAATCCCCATCAGTTATAAGCTGTGGAATTCCTGTATCTTTGTATCTTTTATGAATTCTTGTTCGATAGTGTGATTTGCTATTGCCGGCGTTGTTTTTGTTTTGTGTCTCGAACTCAGGACTCATTTGATATGCGGGCTCAGTAATGCGCCCACACGTCGATGCTGAAACAATGCCAGGCATTTTTATATGCCATGCGATATTTTATAAAATATATATATATAAACCCATCAGAGGAGGAATAAATATATATATATATGTAAGGGAGTAACGAGATGTAGACGACCGCTCAAGTGCATCTTAAAGATACTTTTGCCTGCATTGTGCTAGCTCGGCTCGAGTGGTTTTGCCAGCATTTGAGGCTGTGCCAAAGGCTGGCTGCCTAGGCTGCCCCTTTGATTTGTGTAGGGGTTGATATATGAGCTTTAATGTGCATTAACTCTTGTGCCATATTTCTCCTCTCCTTCGCGGAGAATGGGGTTAATTACGCGTTTACGGCTCTTTGCTTCTATGCTGGCTCTGGATCTGGCTACGGTTATGGCTATGGAGAATCTCGGCCGCAAGTATTTATTGGTCGGTTTGATTTATGTGCCCGGCCATGTGCTTTCGTCTCTCTCCGAGGCTAACCAAAAACTTATGGTTAGTGTTTTTTGGCTACCTGGTATTCCTCTACAAACACAAATAAAAAAAAAAACAGAAACCGAAAAGCGATTTGCATGGCCAGCAATATTTATGTAATCGCCCACTTCCTAACTACTTATGAGTAATTTAAATATTTTTATAATTCGCTTTAAACGAATGCCCAGCAGAAGGCCCACAAAAACCACTGAGTCGGCGGAAAAAGCTGCAAGTAAAAAAAGCCTCGAAAAGTGAAAAAGACCAATTCATGTTGCTCAGCCGAAATGCCACAGAAGAGCCACACATAACCCATAATCACGGCTAAACATAAAAAACCAGCCAGACAATTCTAATTGTCAGCCTCTTTCGGCGTTTTGTGCTAAAGATTTCATTTCATTTTATTCCGTTTTTCGGTTTTCGTTTTTCGGGGTCGCAATTTTTCAGCATTTTGCTAATACCCACTTTAGGGGGCCTCCAAAAAAAAAAAACAAAAACAGTCGCTCGTTGGAGAGGCGATTCGGAAAGGGGTTCAGCGATTTCTGAGCCGAACCCTTCATTAAACACACGCGAAAAGACCAGCGACGATCTTCGACAACTCATGTTTATAAATTGGTCTATAATTTCGATTTATTTATCCAGCTTAAGGTGACTGCTGCCGCTGCTGCTGCTGCTGTTTGCTGGAATTTGTACTTTTTCTTGGCGAAAAACTGTTTTTTCAGGCCAAACTAATTGCCAAAAATCCGTAGGAAAATGTTCGGAGTGAAAATATTTTTGTTACCCTTCCAGGCAGGGCTAAAAATAACATGCGCTCATGTTGTTTGAGCAAACAGTTTAGAACGGGCCTCCTAATCCGAGCCTAAGTAATGGGTCTATCTGTATCTGCAAGATACTTTTTAGCAGGTAGCTCAGAGATACAAAGTGAGAGGGAGAGCACTGAGATACAAGAGAGTAAAAGAGCGTAAATGGAGGGGAAATAGCACCAACACTAATGCCAGCGACTTTCTGCTCTCACTAATACTAAGGCAGAAGATCTCTCTGCCGCTCTCTCGCTCTC